GTGACTGAGATGAGTTATTACCCGAAAAATACCCATATAGACATGGAAATAAGGACTAGCACTTCAACGAAAAGACCACTTTCCGTGAACACATTCACTTAGCTGTACAATCACATTCATGTAAAGGTATTTTTGTATGTATATGTGTACACTCAGTTTGCAAACATAGTTAAAAAATAAAATTATCTCGGAATATTGTTTACATCATCAATATATATTTAGAAGTAGGGAACATTAATCAGATTGTAACTGAAAGTGCGGAGATCAGTAATGTTGGACAGAAGGTTGACTGATACGAACAGTTGGGTGTTGACAGGAAAAGCATTAAGACAAGCGTCGAAATATATCACGTAACGGGTGAGCAGAGTGAACAAAGGTTAGTTACGGAAATGATGCTAACAGCTAAAATACCAGAAATACGAAAGAATATGAAGTGATAACAAAACATTGATAACTGTTGAGCTTAGAATGATGTCCAAAGGAGAAGGGTCGGGTAGAAAAGTTTCTCTCGCGTGCATAAATCAAAGCTTTTCATATAAGTCAATATAGAATGCTAAAATTGAACACACATTCAACACTACTGATCTTCACACTTTTAGTTACAATATGATTAATATTCCCTGCTTCTAAATATATTGATGATGTAAACCATATTCCAAGTTAAATTATTTTTACATTTTTAGCAATGTTTTTGGCAGACTGAATGTATACACATACATACAAAAATATTTTCATATGATTGTACAGCTAAGTGAATGTATACACCGTAAGGAGTTTTTTCGCTAAATCACGTGTTAGTTTATCTGTAATAATGCTAAATAAAGGTGACTACACCAGGCATCCCTAATATTTCGTTTATTAATTCTGTCTCCACTGTTCAGTGTTGTTAGTAAGTTCACCGCTCCCCTAATTAGTTTCTCAGAGGATTTTAGCATTACTGCTGACTACTCTGATTTCTCTTTAACGCTTTAGTAGTGATGTGTTCCATTATATTGGCCTCTGCGCCACAATATTACATTTGGCATGAACAAAGACATTTATGTGTTTCATGCATTTTAGTCTTTGTGAAAATTTAATAAATTTAACACAAGCACTTCATTTCACTACATGCTGAAACACCTACTATCATGTCATCAAAACGCTCTTCTTCCTAACTGAGCACTCGGAATACAGTTCATTTGAATAGTGGTGAGAAACTATATGACTCATCATTGCTGCGGGTATATAGTGATGCTCTCTTAGTTGTATGAAATTTCACAGTAATAATCGTGATCAAGAATAGGATATGTAAAACCGCATCTATGTATTTAAATACAGTCTTCTCAGGTATCCTTGCTGTCGGCTTTCAATGGCAATGCAGGCGTCATCCTCAGCAGCAATTCTGGATCACCAGATGTTAATAAATATAGAGATCTAGCTCTAAATGTACCAGACATGTAGTGTCACTAAGCTAATTAAAATGATACTATTGTGCATTTCAACTTGACATTCCACCACATAATTTTTCATCCTTTGAAACAAAAATATAATATTGGGAACCTGGCTGTCTGTAGTATTGCTGGGTTTTCCATGTTCCACGGGATCATTTCTTCTCAAATGCGATATATGATGTGAATTCCCAGATATCAAGCGTGACGTATAGTTCCCAGCTACTTGTATAGTAGGCATTAACACTAAGCTTCACGTTCGTTTTTTCTTTTCCTAGGGAACGGAAACGTGAAAAAGAGCGTGAAGAACTTTGGAAGAAGTTGGAACAGCTCCGGTTATCTGGTTCAGGTGATGCGCCAATCAATTCAAATATTGAATCAAAAACGTATCCTTCTCTTAACAATAATTCTTTTACGGTAGTTTCTCAAAATTCTAGCCAGATCGGTGTCAACGTCACAAAGCGTTAAATCCACTGTCTTCCTACCACTCGTTATACGAAACATCGATTGCTTATTCTTTCAGTTCGTAATTTACACGGTTGGCAATGATTCATTCCGTTTTCAGACACAGATATTTAACTGTGAGGCGAATGACGCTGGTGATCTGCGTCATATAATTTTATGAATATAATTCAACTAGTATGTATTTAATTGCATGTTTGTTCATTTATCTTCTGCATGAGATCAGACATTTCTCATACGGATATACACTACTTATTCACCTAATTTTTATTTTATTGCTTTAGTTAAATGTTATTTCTCACACCTATTATAGGTCTTAAAACAGGTACATAATTTGATAACCGTGATTTCTTGTTGGCTGATGTGATCGATTGTTCTTTTTTATCATGTAAATGTGCCTATTGGAGGATATTCAGAAAGCAATAAGTATTTTAAATATGACGCAAATAACTTTCAGCTTACTCCTTTGTTTTTCTGATACCATCTTCAATAAACATTTGCTAAAGTCATATCCTTAAATACTTTTTATTAGTATCTAACTGTAATTTCATCCTTTTCTGTTTCGTTCTCTCTTGAAAACTTTAAAAACAAAAACTGGATAGGGTTGCAAAATAGAAAAGTGGGCTGAGAAGCATATCCGACAAAGTATTAATCAATTTTCTTATATTTTCTAAGGCAGATCCAGAAAAGAAGCTGCAGGATGATATGTATCCAATCACATCATTGTACCTACTCTGTAGGTGGAATCGTGATCCATGAAAAGATACTAGCAACAGACAGCTCTTATATTTTACGCATCAACGTCGTGACCTAACTGTCCTTAAGTCTAAATCAGTTTTCGAGACAAAAAAGCGGGAAACAGGACGTGTATAGTAAGCATGAAGGTTATTGAGAGAAGTGTTTCGAGATATCATGGAAAAATCCCCACAAGAAACTACCATGTCCAGTTGTTTCATAAAATTACTTACAGAGTATCCGTCTCAGACAGTTTTCCCAAACAATCTTTAGGTATCCCGGAGTGTTGTCTTTAAGATCAATCAGCAGTGAGTTCTCTGGGATAGGTACCTTATAGTATTTTATTATCTGGGATACTATTTCATCAGACGGGTCAGTCATTTATAGTGAGTCTTCCGGAAGAAAGAACAACTGTCTTTGGTAACGGCATGTATAGTCCTGGAAATAAAATGCATCTCTGCTGCAAGTACACATCGGCTGAAGCACACAAGGTGTATTTTATTGGCGGGGATTGGATTACGTTGTAATGAAGTGTGAGGTTGTCGAAATAGAATGCGATTTTTAACACATGAGACCAAAATATCTAGATTTCAGTGGTATAAGTTGCTTGTTTCGTCTAACCTTCACAATAGCCTTAAAACTAACATTTTATCTTGTCTAGTATTTTGAAATTCTAGATTTTTACCATATTTTCCTACTGACTTATTGCTGAACTCTGTATAAAACACTAGCATTTCAAATGGTAACACTACGGACATTGTATGCAAAAGTAGAGAAGAGAAAATGTAAGAGAACCGCGCTGAACAGAAATATACCTTCAGAGTTACAATAAAAATAGAGGGGTGGAGAGCTTTTATCCACGATTCCTAATGTAGCCAAACGTAAATTGTTAATTGCCTTTTAATAATAGGATTAAGTTATGTAGCTTACAAGTTATTGCCAACACTATGTTTTCAACATGATTAAGTTGCATGTTATGTATTGGAATAAATTCACACTCAACTAATGCCTTTTTCAAGAAACATAACTGGGTGAATAAAAAGTAATCTTTGTTTTTACCCCTGCCTTAAACTGTGAGAAGACCAAACCACCGTACCCATTATGTAGTCGGGTGACTACAAGTTTGTGGTTATATCTTTTAGTTGACATTAATGTTGGAAATCCCAATCTTCTTTATGCCTAGTGCAATAGATTTCTACACTGACTTGTCGTTGTTGGTTAGGTATCTCCATCACCTCTGTCTAAATTATGTTCACTTGGAATTCTGTCTTCGCTGCTTCTTCTGTGCGCAGGTCTTGAAGTTTGTGTAACATTAGACATAAATCGTCCGTAAAGTCCGAATCTCCTGAAGATTTCTTGTCAGCCCTGTCTTCTCGCTCCCCGTACGTTACAGTCCACCACAATCAGGAGCATCATTGGTGAAAGTAGGCAGCCTTGCCTTACTCCTGTCTTTGCTTCAAAGGCCTAGCTGAATCACATGAAATGTGCAATCAGCATATAGTCACTGAATGAGGTTGATAAATTTTGGGGTACTCTGTAGTGTTGAAGTTTCCAAATCACGTTGCGGCCAATACCGTAGAAGGACTTTTCACAGCCGATTTGGCAGAAAACAGTGTAAATAAAAACCCACTGACCATAAACCCTCTAGTCTCTCTTCAAAGGAAAATCAAACGAAATATGTGAAAAAGACTCAGCCGACTAAATCCTTCGAACTTTAACAGAAGTCACAATGAGAATCAACGACTGCTTTTCCTACGTCTATGCCTAGGAATCTTCCAGTGTCTGCGTCAATAGATCAAGAAGTAATCCAATCTAACGGTATTGATTTGCTCAACACGAGGGAGAGGCGAAAACTCATCATCTCCCGATTTCTTATGATTACCTAGAGTACTGAGTAGATGGGTACTTTTCCTATCGAATGTCGGTGTCGAACTCTCCTAAAACTAACCAAGGCTTATTTTCGCTGACTAACCTGATACCACCCACCATGTTCTAAACATGCACTGTAAAACCACAGTACCTTAACAAGTTCCTGATGCCATATGGTGGAGAAATCTCCAGTTTTGAATTAGTTTAAACTAGTTGTATGTAACATTTGCATCAGTATCCGTTGTTTCACGGTTTTTATCTACAAAAAGGAATTTAGACCACAAAATACGTAAGCTACCATGTGGCTGCGGTATGAACCACATGCTAAACATCTGATCACGAAGTGAGCTCTGCCTTTATCACCATAAAGAATTAATAAGCGCTTTTTTTAAACTCATAATGGTGGGTGATTTTACACTTATGTAGTAAATGAAATTTACTCCACGTATTAATCAATCTTATTTCGGAATTCGACGGTAGGTACTGGTAGAATGGAATTATCGATTTCTGAGATGAAGTATTAATTCAAGTAACAGATACAAAAATTAGATTTACAAAACCAAGTAATGTTACAGAAAACAGTAAGTGACGATTGACTAGGATGTCTTACAGTCGTCATTTTGTTCCACTGGTTTCAATGTTTTTACATATTGTCTTAGTGCCTTTTCATTTTCCAGTACTTTATCAGGTTTTTTATACTAAAATGAGATATTTAATCTAAACTTTCAACAAACCGAAATAATGAGTGTGTTGTTTGCATGACTTAGTGTAATCGACTTCTCGTCCAGTGGCAAGCCCATTCGCATCATATCCGGTATGGTGAACTTCTTGTAATATCTGAATTGGGATTTTAGTCAAATCTAACAATAAAAGCTACTTCTTATTAGTCGTCCTTAGAACGATTGCCTCATCTTCAATGTTAATTTTGTACACGTCCAATGGATAAGGCAAATTACGTACTCGCCACTGAAATGAATTGGCAACATCGCTGCGACTAAACAAGGGCTTTTTGTAACTCAGGTAATAGAATATGAGAATACAGTTTGAGAAGACTCCATTATACAATCCGAAAATTGATTTCTACTCGTCGTCGGCTCCCCAACTTCAATCTCCCAAGATCCATCACCACCAAGTACAGTTTTCTTTCTCCATCTCCTAGCTTGTTGAATTTGAAAATTAAAATACAACAACACTTACTCAGTAGGTTATCGTTGGATGTGTCATATTCTTCAACCATTTCTTCTCCTTCGGGAAACAAGAAATGGATCTTCCGCCTCCCTAGAAGTTGTAATAATGTAATCTGTAACTTATGGTTTAGTTTCAAAAGAATGCATCAAACAATGAAGATCTATCTAGCATTCAGAATTAAACGTTAGTTTCTTTGTAGTATAACTCCCCTGAAGTATAAAACCTGGGCAGATACAGCCTGCTTTACATATCGCAATAGCCCAATGGATTATGCTGACTGGTACGATTATCGCTTGAGATCCAATTCATTGGCGTCGAAGACAAGCGTACATTTTACGTCAAGAACTTTGGTTATGAGTGTTGAAGCTAAATGTTTGCACTCATGCTTCTAGGTTAATAGGTATATCCATAATAGTTAGATTTCTTCTGTAAAGATAATCCTCAAGGTACCTATAACCACTTAATAGTAAGATAAAATCGGTTTGAAAAAGTTCGTTGTAGAAACATTTGATCAAAATATCTTTATTCATCATGGTACTCTGAGAAGTCGATGACGACAAACTACAAAGTACAATAAAAATACAAACCAAGATGATAAATCTAGGACCTAACTAACAGGTTATGTGAAGATAACCTGTGAGAGCATTATCGACGAATCCGACACCACAGAAATACATGAGCTCCAATCAGTCATACCGTCTAGGCAGCTAAAACGAGATTCAAGTAGTGAAATAACCCGACTTGCCTACCAGTCTAATCATCTGATGTAGAATGGCAGTTACCACAACCAGTCACAAATTCAGACTTAGCCTAACCCATTCTTATTATCAATCAACATATCGTATCCTTTCGTGAGAAAAGAAGCCCCTTAATGGCACACTTCCAAACAAATGAAAACAGCTTATCACATATCAAGTTTTGTAACACAGCAAAACGAACTAAATATCAGATGTTTCGCACCTCGGGAAGACGCTCCAAAGCATCGTTGTTTTTCCTTCAAAACTGCTCACTGGCTAGCAAGCAATTTTAATGCAACCCTAGGGGTGCATCATGCATGATTCAACACTCATACCCCGGATATACGGACAAGTTCGTTAAAAAACATGCAACAAAATACTAAGCGTAGCAACTTGGTTCAAGAAAAATACATTCTACCGACCATCTTCAATCAGTAAAGTGGCCTTGGCAGCTTTAATCTTTTCAAGCCACGCGCGTGTGTCCATGACAGCCCGCGACGGTATAAGTGGCCTCAACGGTTGAATCACGCTCCAACCACTGGTATCAATATTATGAGCATGATTAAACCAGATAATTTCTTCTGTGATAAATAATTCTTGTCAACCTTTAGTAAATTTCTATTTGGTCAGCCTTGTTCTCTCTAGTCAGCCACTCAGTAGTTGGGGTCATTTTCTTTGCATGCTAGTTTGTGATTGATAAAAGAACGATTGGTCTACCACTGCTTAACCTTCCAACCTGAACGAAAAATTAAGTCAGTGAACGCTGAGAACGTTTCGCTCTCAAGAAGTTGGCAGCTATATGTACAAAGACGGGTTCTTCTTATTTGGTCTTTATATGTTTCACTGCCCGTTCTACAACTCTCTGTCTCCATCTCCTACGCCTTACTGACAAATTTTGACATAGCTTCTAAGTAGTGATGAGGCAGTATATTTACGATGAGCGAAATGTGAGAGCGATTAGGTTTATAACCATTGGAATTAGCTGCATGTTGAATGCTAGAAACTGCCTGGGTGTAGTGTTTTAAGCCAAAGCCATTGCCAGGTCACTTTGTCTGTGCTTCCAGTTTCATCACCGAAACGGCGCTTTAGTGCAAAGTGAAGTGATACGAGGTGCAGAGTCAATAAGTGACCATCTGCAGTAACGTCATGCTTAAATTCTCCCTCCATCCTAATTTTATCGACTGTTTATGCGACTTAAGCAAGTTATTCCTGTCCATGTGTCTACATCTTCTGTGCAAATATGCACTGTACAGCACAATACGTGAAGTTAACCGAGGGACAGCTTAACAGATTCTGATAGTGCCACTTTAGGAGATGCTTCATGTGGTGTTCATCAACGCCAAACAGTTTTGCGGAGCTTGGCGAGATCATTCATATCATGACATGATCTTTAATTGATCAATCTGTCAGTAGGGCTCAAATTTGTTTGAGACTTATTGTGCTTTCCGTGGGGTATAATGCACCTAAGGTTTTTCGATTATATTCCTCCTGCATGATTTTACAATACATTCAACATCTTCAGGAATAGCGTAACAGGTCCGTACATGTCAGTATTTTCCCACCACTGTCCTAGTGTGGATATTCCCGATACATCCTTAAGTTGCTGTCACTTAACTGGTTCTTAGGCCAAGTCATATTCGGCTTGCTTTGGTCTTCAGCGCATTTTGTTAATATGATATTTGTCATACCAGGGGTCTTGTCAAAAAATAATCTTCGAACACTTCTGTGAGTGTAGTGTTTTAATGTGCAAAAGTCCTTTTATGAACTGAAAGTTATCAGTAGTTTCCACTAAATATCTGCGAAAATTCTTAGTAAGCGCTGCAGATAACAATTTATTCCTGTCCGTTCTCTCTCCATGTGTCTACATCGTCTGTGTCATTACTCACCCTATTTTAACTGCTAGGCCACAAAGCTTTTGAGAAGCCAAGCTTCACCAGACAACATCACAGCTTACAATGTAACAAAACTCAGACTTCAACGGGCCATGTTTGGTTGCATGCAACGCATTTCCACCTCTAATTGGTACGTGCTTACGGCTGAATTTAAACCATGCTGATGCTTGCGATTGAAATTCATCGATACTATTTCATTATCTTGTCTTACACACTTCATGCGCTCCAGTATCTGTAAATGTTTACTGCGTGTATATGTGATTTAACATATTTACGATGCCCTCTAACTGCCACTACTCATGTAAAAGCCAATTATAATATGTTAATCCTATTGTATGCTCACTGACACATGGAGAATAGCATAGTCTCTTGATTAAAGGCAAAGGAAGACTGCTGTGTTGGTTGTGTTCTAAGTGTAGAGAACTACTCAACTTTGCCCATTCCCGTATTGCCCGAAAATGCCATTTTACAAGTACAGGTGAAGTAGGCTTCTTTCACTCAGGGAAAAACATCGCAGTTACAGAAATTGGGTGGGCCAGCTCAGAAAGTCAACCATTCATATGGCAATCAAACTAGATTTAACAGGATAGACGAACGCGTAGGTATCACGGAGGGTCGGGGGAGCTCAAAATCCGTCGGTACTTGACACTTAAATGCCCCCAATAAGGTCGTGGTCCAAAATGTTGGAGCTAGATACATACTTCTATTCCGGCGAATCGTTCCGAGCTAAATCCCACGCATAAGCGACAAATAAAACATCGTCTGGAGTGCGGACATTTGTAAACTGTGTATGGTAACCAGCAGGTTATAAGTGAGAATATTGGACTCACATCTTTCTCGATTAGTAAATTTATTGCATATTTACGTTCTCAGTGGGAGATAGGGCTTCAAGCTAGAGGCTTGCAGTTATGGTGGCAGTGGTGTTTATTTTACAGGATGAGGTTGCTAACTTCCCACCCAACCTTCCCTCTTTGCCAGCCTTATTACTGGCTTAGTGAGGTAAAGGAGTGCGTTGGCCGGGGATCGAACCCCGGACCACATGCGTGGTTGGCGAACGTTCTCCCGCTGTGCCACCGACGCACCATTTTTATTCTTTTACGTTCTCACTGCATATTTAGTAGTGATGGATTGTTCGTTGGTTCTTTATCCAAACCTTGAAAGTTTGTTTTCATAGACTTGCCCCATATTGTTCTATTTGGCGTTAGTAAACATTTTAACATTCCAGACGACTATGAATGGAAAAGCCTAATGCTCGAAGGAGCGCACTGACACTTGCAAAACTACTGCTTGTATTCATGGTAGATAGCTGGTAAATAATACCGTATCATTAGGCCTAGAAAACTTCTGAATTTCGGGGAGAATGTGTAACAACAGGAGACAAGGGCTAGGCAACAGATCGTTTATTGAGAAAATCAAGAGGTATTTACAGATTTTTACTTGCATTATTGTTGGCGTTATTGTTAGCGGAGAAGCAACCCGTTCTGATTGGTAGTTTTCTTGTTGAAGGTTATTATGTTATCTCTTTAACTCCTCGGTGATTGTCTGGTGTTTTTATCAAGGTTGAGCTTTGTTATTGTTTTTCTCATGACCCTGATTCGGGACGTAAACATTGACGTAGATTGTTGTCTACAATGTTGTCTTGCAGACAGCTCTCACCACGAATGTATTTCGTATAAAATTTTACTAGGTTCACACAACGTAGAAATATTCGACATTTGCCTTCTGACAGTCTGTTAGACAAGGTATTTTACCTGTCCCACTTGATAGTACTGTCGAAAAATACGTACATCCATCAAATACTAGCAGGGATATTTCAGACTGAAGAACATTGGAAGTTTGGGTCTATCCTTGACGAATTCCTGGTGTTCTGTTTACCTCATTCACTTAAGTTGGGGGCAAAGTGTACTCGAAGCTGATCTCTGCTTGGGAAGTCAAATAACCTACACTGATTCTCACTGGAAGGTGTGTCCACAAAAAGGATACGGTGTTTTATAAGGGTATCCTGCAAAGCGTGCTAGTTACTCGGAAAACATAAAAACATTCTAGTCTCTCTTAAACGAGCCTCTTTACAACCACTGAGTAACCAAAATTACCGGTGATTACAGTGGCAGCTCTGAAATAGTGAAGACACAATGGACACAATCTTTAAAGAAATGTTGATTTGTGAGCATATTGCAGCATAGCATGTATCATATTTCATTGAAACTCGACATTTTAAATGTTTGAGTGGGATTGGTTCTTAGAAAAATTGTAATAATAATATATTCTTAGTATTTGTACATGAGGATCGCTAGTTTACAGGTATCATCAATATGATGAAAAACATATTCAAGGAGTATAATAATATATATTTATTCCCATCTATTTAGAACACACCAGTTTTGCAGGCATGGATAAGTATTATTTAAATTACATAAATTTGGTTTATGGTGGAATTACATGGCTGCTATCTTTTTTGTCTTTAGTTTGTGGGAACAATCTGCTAACTAGTCATTCAATAAAGCACATCAAGAAATATAGAAATATTGTCTTCGCATTAACAAAAACCCAATTATGTGTTGGGTGGATTACAAATACTTGGGAAAAATAAAGCTTGAAGCCATTTCCCCCACATAACTTTGGGGTGTACGGCATCGAATCTTATTATTGATTTGTATCCAAACTGGGTATTAATTCAAAACAAGTGGTGTATTCGTTTGATTTTGTCAGCATTGTCATCATAAGTAATACCAGAAGTGAATTGTATTCGATGCAGGCTAATATCGGTCATTATCAGGCAGATTAACTTTACTGCACCGGGGTTGGCTGCCATTTGTCGCTGCATGGTTGTTGTGTACGAGTAAGTTGATTAACATGTGGTAAGCTATTTGCAAACCATTTCAGGTTATGGGTACTGCTCGTACAGGATGCTGTACAGGGTCCTGATATGGTTACAGTGGAATTTTCAATGAAATTGAGTTAATACTAGCCAAAACCTTGAGGGATGATATGGTATATATAAGTAAGCGGCTTCAATCCCCGTTCAACTACAGTCTCACTTTAGATCTGCGCAACTTCCACTACAAAGCAAATAGAAGAGAAGAGGCGAGCAGTAAAGTACCGGAGGGGAAAGAAAAAGTGTGTGGACACGGATAGGACCTTAATCTTTGTATATATATGTTTATATTCGTTGTACATTGCCATCTAGTAAACCGATATATTCATCTCTACCTAGTCTCTTTATACATCTTTACGACCAGTCTGTTTATCGTTTATAGAGCAATTAGGGAGTTCTGCGCGCTCTAAGGTACTGTAGTTAACTAATAATTGATTCGTTCTAGAAATAAATAGTTTGTTAATGTAATCAGTAGAGTGAAACAGTGTGTACAAAGAGCGTTTGAAACTTGTAACCGAGGTACAAGTTCTGATCAGTAGGCATGGTGGTGGTTACAAACGCGAATCGTTTCAATCTCTAGGGCAACATCGTGCATTGTCTGACATATCGAGAATTAAATATGATTCTAGTTCCTTATCAAAACAAAAGAATTAAGGTTGTACAGATCCAAATTTTTAAAACTGCTTTTGCTCCCAACATCTTGAGACACCTGACAAGCCAGTTTGCCAAACAGGTTCTAATCTTCCAAAACTTTGAGTTCACTTCTCACTGAAATATCACTCATCCATC